TTTACCGTTTGATCCTAATCATTCTCACTCGAAAAGTCTGCGTATACACCGATAAGTCAGGCGTAGTCAAGGACAGGAAAGTTCACGAACTTCATGGCTGTGCACTCTCGGGTGTGTCGAGATTTAATAAGCTAGCCCGACCAGGTGCTATTGTTGCTGAGATAATATGTTGTATGAATAAACATGAGACAGGAAAATCTTATACTTTTAGAATACTGCGTTCTGCTGTTCCGATCGCAGTTTGGCTGGGCTTTCACGTCTAGATTGAATATTGAGCCTGCCGTTCCCATCGCAGTTTGGCAGGGGCTTTCCAGTTTACATTGATATATTTAAACGAGCCAAACCAGAAATGGCTCAGGTTGTTCCAAACGCGGAGCGACCGGAATATGCATGTCTTGCGATTTAAATACACTGTTCTGGTCGCATACTGCTAAGCGTTGTCAAGGGTTCCTTTGTTAAGGGAAGATTAAAAAAGCTCGCAAATTCCAGTGTACTTAATGCGAAAGGAAGGCGTAGGACCAAACGGTAAGCCGCTCCTTCAAAATATTTTCAACAAATAAAACAAACTTGTTAAAAACTTGAATTTTATTAACACACAAATTTTAGCTTCATTTTGTTTCAACTTTTAGTATATTGTTATAAACACTTTGTCACTGTTTTGAAGAAGTGACGAATCTGCACACACAGAGGCATAACTGAGTTTTGAGAAACCACATTTAAAGTTGGCCGATTTTTCATAATTGCAATTTCATATACATTTTTTCCCAAAAATGAAATATATACCTGAATTAATAGCCCAGTTAAGAATATCCAAAGTGTGAGAATATCAAAAGCATTCAAAATTGCTGGAATACCAATTTTTGGATGGATTTGACATTTTCTCAAAATGATCATTGACTTTAAATTAAAGGGTGTATGAGATGAATTTTTCCGAGGAACACATTTTTTTTCCAACTTTCTATTCCTCTTAAAATGTACAAAAACTATATGACACTCATTTTTGGATAGTTTTATTGAAAAGTGCACTTCTTTGAACATTTAAAATTTTCCATGCTTTTCCGGACAACTGAGAGTGCTGTTGCTGTGATGTCATTTTTGGAAGACGCTGTTCAGTTTAGGGATTTTCCATTCAAGTTGTGAACCCAAAAATGTGTTCACTGAAAACATTTGTTAGAAAAATTTGCTCATTGGCTTACTGCCATGTATTGACACAATAAGGAATCAATAAAGAAAAGAACATTCATAACAGCAAAATATTCAGAATTCTGCTGGCAACTTTGACGCTGCAACATTGACGTTTCTGCCTGAAATGACATCACACTTTTGCTCATGAATACGGAAATGTTCATAAGCATAAAAACCAAAAGGCACCAAAATATCCTTGAAAATGGCAAAACGAAAATTAAAAATAAGGTTAAATGCAGGGACACAAATGTGCATTTTCAACGATTGCATTCAACAAATTACATTGCATGGGTCCTGTAATGTCCTTCAGTCGTCAGTAGGATTTGCACCATTGCAAGTTTACAATTTTAAGGTTTTCATCCCTGTGCTTTCATCCCTGGGAACAAGTTCAGGTTAAACACAATATCATCAGATTTATCATCAGAATTGTACCATACACAAGACTTTTGTATGTTCTTTTTTTGGAAGGATACAAATAGACAAGGCCAAATGTCTGGGTTTTGATTGGAATCAGTTGGGCATAACTTGATGCATGTGCTTCTTTGGGGGCCATTGTTGGAACATTTCTATATAGACAGTTCACAAAGAAAAGGAAATTTCAAAATACCCCAAAATAAAGTGTACATTCCATTCGATCTAAAGTTGATAGATTAGTTGTGGAATATTCTGGTTCTTTTATTCACTATACTTCATCCAAAACTTTAACATTTGAAAATATTGATTGACCCTCCTATGCAAACATACATTCTGTGCCAAGTAGTCTTTTCAGTCAAAATAAACTTTGTTTTTAACAGTTAAGAATTCCCGGCCTACGTAAAGCAGGGTTGACCGGGCTCACTGTGAAATGTAACTTGATACAGCTATGCTTTGACTTCGGGTGATTGTTAAGCCAGCTGTGGCTAGCTTTGTCTGTTCATGGTCTGCTGACTGAGTTTGACTAGTTACAGTGCTTGCTTGACACATGATCTGAATGCTGGTGACTAGCCTGTGTTAAATGCATAGCAGGGGGCGTGGAAGTGAATTTTGACTGTCTATGACTGTTTAAATAGCAGGAGGGTTAATCAGTTGGTGATTAAATGGACCATCAATGAGAACATGTATGCAATTAACATAAAGAAGCAATCGTACAGTCGTAAACTTTACATTTTTTTTCCATTTATTGCAACCTTATTGCGTTCAAATAATTGAAAGAGCATCGTTTTTCAGTTAATTTTTTATGGGTTTGTTTTATCTGTGTAAATGGGGGTATTGGAGAATTACTTAAACTATGTTATTAATTCTCTGTTGAATTAATTGGGCCCCCTTAAAGCTCAAATTTCTGGTTCAAGGTTAGCTTGAAATTTGTGCAGTCGGACACATTTTTGGGAAAACATGTACATACTGGTACATTTTGAGTACTTTACAATTATTTTGTCATACCCAAATGCTACGGAGGTTGGCAGAGGACACTACCATATATCTGGTAAAAAAAAAATGTATTTTGAACACAAAGTGCCGGGACAAATTGTATTTATAAGAGAAATTGATTCATTGCAGAAATAATGCCAATGTCAAGGGTTGTGTGGTGATCTTGCACGGAGCAATTTATTCCAACTTTTGAAACTAGTGTGTGTAAACCATCCAGCTCAAGGACACTGAACTCACACTGATCCTCTCATGGACTTTTGGTTCCAGATGGCAGTGACTGGTTATTTTTTGTGGGGGCCTGGTTTACTTGAGCATATGTCCCCTGCAGCACTAAAAAGCCACTAGACCGTAGCCCATCAGAATGTAATCACCAATTTTTTTTTCTTCGTTTACATAATTTTTAAAAAGTAGATGTACCTTTGTCCCCATTCTCGTTATTGAACTGGGATATTTTGTTTGCAAAGTGAAAAGGAAATACATAGGCCTATACATATGTACATTTATGAATAGCGTGATGCTGGAACTGGCAGAAGCGTAGGAGTTGTCCTTCAGCTAAAAGGCTTTCCCAAAAAAAAAATTTGAAAAAAATAAATCCGGCTTTCAAAGTTGCTTTAACTGAATTCAATATGCCTCTTTCGTAATCCATTAATTTCAAAAGATTTGCCATTTTTTTGTTGGATAAACACAGCGGATAAATGCACTCAAGGCTATGGGGGATGTGGTAACCCCATCTGCATTCTGCGTAATTTTTCATGCAATCCAAAAGAGGTGGAAACTTTTGTTCGCACAAAAGATAGAACGCACAAGACACCTAAAAACACTTCGCTGTCCAAACTTTTCTTTTGTAAAAATGCTGCTTCCAGGGCCGCCAACTTTGAGTAAGAGCTGAGAGTGAGAATTTGGCGATGGAGCTTGATCAGAAGTAATCATGCTAATGCGGGTGCAAAGCGCGAACCCTTACGGCTTGGGTTCAGGGCCCGCTGAAGGGCCCTGGAAAAAATGGATTCTTGACGCTCTGTGGTGTAATCTGAGGCAATTTCTGACCACTTTAACCAGTGATCATTGTTTTACTATCATTTTCGAGTTATATTCATATATTTTTTAGCGTGACAAATGCCAAGTGTGCGTGAGAGCGTGACAACAACCTAAAATGCGTGACTCTCACGCTCAATGCTTGACTGCTTGAGAGTTTGCAGCCCTGTACTTCAGAACACGAAGATCTCTTCAATTTCGCTGATACCCTGCAATACTTTTGCACGCACTCGATGAAATGTTTATCCCGAAAAAGAAAAATCATCAAATCTTGATGTGAGTGCACATATGCAGTTGGAACACTGAACTGACTTATTGAAAACATGATGTACAGTCTAGATTTCGAAATATTTGTTTTGAGAAGTTCTTTCGTAAGAAGTAGGGCTCTGTTCTGATGAGAGAGTCCTCTGCTTCTTCACAAGGCAATCCAAAATGAAACGGCTTCTTGAAATCCTTGAACTTTATAAGTGAAGTGTCCGAGAGAAAAAGCTAGGAGCACTTCCAATTCAATTAATCGGCTGCTCTTAAGAACAAAAACCCTCCCAAGATATAGAACAAGGCCGTTTGTTCTTTCTCTAGCTCAAGCCTTTTTTCCCTCTCTTTTTTTCTTCTTCTCGTTTTCATCCTCTTGAAAGGCAACCCAGTCAATTAAGATACTTCCCTGCCCACACAGGCGACAGCGAAGGATTTATTAATTTTCCTGTATGACTTAATTACGCCCAGCAATTTATCAAGAAACCCCAGGTGATTATAGGGAGGGGGGATAATCACACGTGGTTGTCGCTTGAGGAAGTAGCCGGCAAGGATTTTGCTCGTTTGTTAAAAATTGCCGAGTTGCGGAAGCCCAGAATGTAATAATAGCCTTTATTAAGAAGCGTGTTCCTGTGCGAAACTTGTTTCTGTTGTCGAAAACAACCGGTGAAAATGCATGACTGTAAGTGATATTTTATTGACGTGCACAGAAATGATTAAGCCTGTAAACAAAATCGGCTCCTTAATGTTTTTCTGAATGAGTAAAAGATTTAGTTCATTAGTATGGTTGGAATGATTCCATTTAGTTGTTGTTTTACATGTAAATCTTAACTTAAAATCCTGCTGGTATGCGACGTAAGTGTTTTTTGCTCTATTCCAAAACTTTGTTCCTTCTTAAACTGAAGCTACATGTACAATTTTTTTTTAAAAATCCAAATGGTAAACATACATCAAATGACCTACCGGTAACCCCCCCCCCCCAAAAAAAAAAAACCCCAGACAAAACAACCACCAAATTACTCAAGGTCCTTCTATGGGCTCCTTGCACAAGTACCCCTTGGCTCTCGATCTTTTTGTTTCTTTTTTTAAAACTCTATTCTTGTTTGACGTTCTCCAACGTACAGGCACCCCAGTGAACCGTATTCCCATCATGGCCAAACAAGTGCTGGACCTGTACGAGTTGTTCAACCTGGTCACTGCCAAGGGCGGCCTGGTGGAGGTCATCAACAAGAAACAGTGGCGGGAGATTACCAAAGGGTTGAACCTGCCCGCTTCCATCACCAGCGCTGCCTTCACGCTCCGAACACAGTAAGTCAGAATTGACACCACGGCGAGCTGCTAAAGCCGCCCTCAGACAGTTCTTGCGATGACATAGAAGATTCATCTTTTCAATCTATCATTTAAACCTAAGTGATTTGCTAGTGACCGGCGCCTTTTAATGGCTCTCCAGATACTGTGCGCCTTATAAATTATCTGTTATTATTATTATTATTAGAACAGTCGGCAACTGACTTTTCAGGATAACGCTGCGCCAGAGCTACGACTGTTGTGAACAGTTCAGTCGCCGATTTTTTGCAACCTGAGTGTAACTGCGATGATATTACAAAACAAAATTAAGTTGCAAGAGTAGAAAATTTCAACTTCTGCGCCGCGACTGTACATGGTACCGCCAGGCGGGAATCAATTACATCGACTCGTGTGAAGTTATTACGTCATGCGCGCATCCAGATCATCTAATTTGATTGTGCATCGTCGTCGCGTCGCTGTTTGATGCGACGACAATTCAGTCGTCGCAATTGTGTGATTATTGTTGTTCCACAACAATCACACAATATCTCAGTTTTGTGACCTGAGCATGACGTTTGTGCTTGATGCGGAAGGTTCTCTTGTGTATGCAAACAAATTCTCGCAGAGCTGACATACCGACAAATAAAGCGAAAACCCTGTTTCGAGTAAATTGCGTTTGAAGTTGGACATTTTTCTGGGCGTCGTATTTTACCCTTAATGTTCCGATAATAACCCTGTTAGTGAATATTCGAAATAAAATAGGAAACGTAGTATCCATCATGTTACTTATTTAATCAGAGAAGTTGTGCGATATGAGTCTACTTCACTCTACTTACCTGTAGAGCAACACTACTTATGCATATTCCCCCTACCGGCAGGTATTTTCGCTAAGAGTTATATACAATAGCGCCCTCTGGCGCCCTACCCATAACACCCCGCGGCATGCGTGCCTCGTGAGCGTCCTCTTTTCTCTTAGCGGCAGGTCGGATAGGACGTGCGTGAAATAGCTCGCTGTTTGCCTCGTCATTTACTACCCTTTTTTGCGTTTAAGAGAAGTATTTAATAATAGAGTTAATAAAACAACAGTTTGTAGAGTTTTCATCATCTTCTTGGTTGTATTTATTTGATTATTTTGCAGCGTTTGGGGAGGACCGATCTGTCACTAACCGTTAGGGATAGCTTTCCCACGGGACGGACCGAGTTCTCGGGGGACTCTGCCGTTAACGCTACGTCGTTACCGCGGCAGCAGTCTCTCGTCCGGCACCCTCAGCCACAGTCGGCTGGGGGAGTTGGCAGTTCCGCCGATCAGTTAAGGCGACCTCGGTCACCTTCTCCGGTCAACTCAGGCAGAACACCCAAACTAAAGGCACACTCCGGCAAGGTTCCTCCAAAACATATCTCCTGTGCCGGAGCAAAGCCTAAGAAGGGCCGTCAGGGCAAGCGTGGCTCGGCAACGAGCGCCGCTGTGGCACCTGGCCCTCCCCCGATCACGGGGCAGCCCGAGGGGACTAGCCGTCACACTTCGGTGGGCGCTAGTCACCCGTGTCCTCCCGACACAGTGCCGAACACCACTGGTTGTCGGGATGGGGGCTATTGCACGGGCTACCGGTCCGTTCAGCGCTCACTCAGCCCACGGGGCCTGAGGCGCTGTCGGCCGGGTGCATTATGAGCGATACGGAGCCGGTCGCCCGGGGGGATCCCGGGGCCGACGGCCCCCGTGCTAGCTCGCTCAGAGGGACTACTCTCATCATCGGATTTTTTCCGTTGTTCGGGGGTCCCGGTGTCCCAGGTGTTTTCCGATTTTTCCTCGGACACACCTCGGGTCGTTCTTCTAAGAAGAAGGATAAGAAGAAGAAGGCTGCACGTCGATCGCGCCGTTCTTCTTCGGGGTGTGACGACTCCTCTGACCGGTCCCGCCGGGGCAAACGCTCCCGGGGGGAGGACGCGGTTTCTAGAGCAGATTTTCTGCAGGCTTTTCAGTCGATTTCCGATACGCTATCGACTATGTCGGCTATGTCGGCAGGCCGCCGGGCGGGCCCTATTGGGGGCCCCCTGCAGCGGTGGACTACGGCCCACAACCATCGGTCGTTGGGCCCACAACCATCGGTCGTTGGGCCCACATCGCAGTATTCAGTCACCGGTCACGCTTGGGTGGCCCGGGAACAGAGGGACATACCGCACACAATTAGTCGTGCTGCGGCGTCCCCGCATGCGGTGAGGGCTTCACAGTCGTCGTTCGTTGGCCACGGTTGGGTGGCCCAGGCACAACCGTACGGGATATACCACATATGGTTGACCGTACACCGGAGGCCCGGCCTGCAGCGAGTGTCTCGCATGCATCGGCCGTGAGCACAACGAGGTACATGTACATTGTACATGTACAAAAATGGAAAAAACACATGTCCGTACATGTTCATGTATACCACACATGGTTGCGCGCTATACCGGAAGCCCGGCCTACGGCGAACGGGACTTCTCATTCGCCAGCCGTGACAACGGGACCTACCGCACACAGTTAGCCGTGCGCCAGGATCCCCGCTTGTGTTTAGTCTTCACCATCTGCATAATATTATGTACGATGTATGTCTATTATCTCCGAGGGTGTTGCCCAGCCACCACCGCGTGGTTCTGTACAACTAGCCCCTCCAGACGGCTCTCAGTCATCGGGGTCATTTTGGCCTTCGTATTCGGCTGATTCATCCGATGATGACGAAGAATCAGACCAGTTACAATGGCTGTCAATCGCGGAAACGAAATTCCGTTTGCTGCAGAGGACATTACATGGGTACTTAAATTACCCTCCGCCGATGAGCCCCCTCCGCCCGATCACAAAATTTTCAAATCAAGCGCAGGACGGGCTCCACATCTAACAATGACAAGGTGTTCCCCACACCTCCGTTGGATCAAATGTGAAACACATCGACAACGGACAAAGTGGTGTCCATTTCTCAGGCGGGAACGGCTTATTTATTTATTTATTTATTTATTTATTTATTTATTTTTTCTAATCCGGGCGAGTTTATTGCACCGGTCCCACCGCGGCATACGCTACCGTGATGAGGACTCGGTTTTTCGGCCCACTCATTACAAGCCTTACTATGTTCTCGGCTTTATTATCGGTCATATACGTTTTATACACGTACATGTATTGTCAGGCGGGCACGTTAATGAAACGTCCGTCTTAGTTCAGTTGCGAGTCGTGAACTCTGTAGCACTCTACATTAATCACGGTTGGGTGACTCAAGGACAATGGGACACGCCGCGCAGTGCTTACCCGTGCGGCGGTGTTTCTTGCTGTACTGAGATCGCTACATTTTTCATGCACATTGTACATGTGTGCATTACTTGTGTATGTACATTGTACACTGTCCATTGTCTCCGAGGGAGTTGTTCAACAACTGACTGTGGCCGTGGGCAACGCATCCCTCCAGATATATTTACGGTTCTCGTTTACGGGGTCTATTCGACTCTTGCAGGCATGTTGTGGACCACATTCGATAGATTGTGCCTGTGTTCAAACTGCCTGCTGCTCTTCAAGCAATAATGTGATCATTACCGTTTTCCGTTAGCGAAATTCGGTATTTTTTTGTCACATCTTCCCTCTTCAAAGCAGCTAAGCACAAGCTGCCAGCAGTAGAGGGACCCCATTATTCAAGCGGCTCTTCGTAAATAATACTCGCAGAAGCTTGAATACACTTTGCAGTACATGTAGAATAATCAAGTGGGCTCGGCGATACGCGTTCAGCCTCCCTCTTTACCCTCATGAAGTACCGTAGGTTTAATGTTTTTATCTTGACTCGACAGTCTTAGCGGACGTGTTGACTGCTATTTTCTTTATCAATTTCACAGTCTGCACTCAGTACTCTATAATTTTACACGAGTGCAGACCCTAGCAATCTTGGCCCGCCGGGGTAACATGATTGATGAACTGTTTCTCCCGTCAAAGGGCGCCCGCCAAAGATTCGAGTCCCACTTTTTAAGTTTTTAACGGACAAAGATCTTTTCTTTTGCGGTGGATATCGATGTCTACATCCATATTGGTCGATGTCGACTACATGTGGGCCAGCGCAGGTGAAGAACAAACAGTTGTTTGTTTTCTCAACTGCATACCTCTTGAAGTTTGCCCAGATGATTTTGTGTGGGCCGTGCTAGCAACATTTTCTGTACGCCATGCCACATAGGATAATGTAACAACGATTTCGGTTCGGCTTCAGTTGTTTTGATGTTTTCCATAAGTGGCCTACCTGACTCATGACGACCTCTACCCATCTGTCTCGTAGGAGCTCGTCAGAGAGACTTTGAGGCTGACATCAATACCATCGGGCCAGCACAGTGTTGGGCCCGTCTTGTATTTCCCTTGGAAAGATGTTGATGAGATTTAGTCGACTGTCTAACACATCAGCATGGGGAATGAGCCCTGGCCTGAAGGGTACACAACTGCAACTCATTTTCAGGCCAGAGCACTGAGAATTTCACGGTTTTCAAACCAAGATTCTCGCTGCAACTTCATGGTGGCTCCATCCAGCCTTTTTTCCGCTTCACTCCTGGCCTCTGCTCAGATAGTAAAGGCGATATGACTGCGCCGTGGAAACAAAAATTGGTGGCATTCACCTATTTGCTTGTATCGGCCCAGTCCTCACTGCATTCAGTGCAGGCCATGACCTGACTTGTGCAGTACCTCCTGTGGTTCGGCGTTGCCAACCTCACAAGGGTGGGCCTCTAACAGATTGCAGCCTAACTCATTAACTGTCATGGCGAACATGTTACCCTGCCAGTTAACTGCCCACCACACGCATCTAGTGGCGGATTGGTGAGGCCCTGTGTGAGCATCATTCAAGTTCCATTAACATACTTGAGATGCTGGCAGTCTCGGAGAAACTGCGATGTAACTTCTATATTCGATGTTGTAGTTTACAGTTGTAGCCTGCACACCTGTGTACACTCACTTGAGAAATACCCCATTGGGGTTTTTTCCTCCTAGCTTCTTGCTTTCGACGGTCCTCCTCCCAAGCAAGGACAAC